CTCCCAGTTTGATAGAGGTTATCAAAAGTGGCGCAATGGGTAATCAATTGACCAATGATTCACATTGCAATTCATAATGCATTTGTGCACATACGGGAGCTTTTAGTCACTCCACTGCTGGATAAAGGCCTCCTCATGCTGCCCTGGTCATTGGGGTTTGTCAAAGATAACCACAATGGGTAGTACCACTTGGTGAACTGAGCAAAAATATGTACCATGCCGAAACCCGGGATTGAACCAGGGACCTTTAGATCTTCAGTCTAACGCTCTCCCAACTGAGCTATTTCGGCTTCCTCTTGCAGCATTGGTTTAGTTGCCATGTTATTGACGTCCCAGTTTGATAGAGGTTATCAAAAGTGGCTCAATGGGTAATCTATTGACCAATGATGCACATTGCAATTCATAATGCATCTGTGAACGATGTGGTGATAAGAAATACATACAGGAGCTTTTTGTCACTCCACTGCTGGATAAAGGCCTCCTCATGCTGCCCTGGTCATTGGGGTTTGTCAAAGATAACCACAATGGGTAGTACCCTTGGTGAACTGAGCAAAATATGTACCATGCCGAAACCCGGGATTGAACCAGGGACCTTTAGATCTTCAGTCTAACGCTCTCCCAACTGAGCTATTTCGGCTTCCTCCTGCAACATTGGTTTAGTTGCCATGTTATTGACGTCCCAGTTTGATAGAGGTTATCAAAAGTGGCTCAATGGGTAATCTATTGACCAATGATGCACATTGCAATTCATAAAGCATCTGTGAACGATGTGGTGATAAGAAATGAATGCAGGAGCTTTTTGTCACTCCACTGCTGGATAAAGGCCTCCTCATGCTGCCCTGGTCATTGGGGTTTGTCAAAGATAACCACAATGGGTAGTACCACTTGGTGAACTGAGCAAAAATATGTACCATGCCGAAACCCGGGATTGAACCAGGGACCTTTAGATCTTCAGTCTAACGCTCTCCCAACTGAGCTATTTCGGCTTCCTCCTGCAACATTGGTTTAGTTGCCATGTTATTGACGTCCCAGTTTGATAGAGGTTATCAAAAGTGGCTCAATGGGTAATCTATTGACCAATGATTCACATTGCAATTCATAATGCATTTGTGCACAATGTGGTGATAAGAAATACATACGGGAGCTTTTTGTCACTCCACTGCTGGAGAAAGGCCTCCTCATGCTGCCCTGGTCATTGGGGTTTGTCAAAGATAACCACAATGGGTAGTAACCACTTGGTGAACTGAGCAAAAATATGTACCATGCCAAAACCCGGGATTGAACCAGGGACCTTTAGATCTTCAGTCTAACGCTCTCCCAACTGAGCTATTTCGGCTTCCTCCTGCAGCATTGGTTTAGTTGCCATGTTATTGACGTCCCAGTTTGATAGAGGTTATCAAAAGTGGCTCAATGGGTAATCTATTGACCAATGATGCACATTGCAATTCATAATGCATTTGTGCACAATGTGGTGATAAGAAATACATACGGGAGCTTTTTGTCACTCCACTGCTGGATAAAGGCCTCCTCATGCTGCCCTGGTCATTGGGGTTTGTAAAAGATAACCACAATGGGTAGTACTTGGTGAACTGAGCAAAAATATGTACCATGCCCAAACGCCGGGATTGAACCAGGGACCTTTAGATCTTCAGTCTAACGCTCTCCCAACTGAGCTATTTCGGCTTCCTCCTGCAACATTGGTTTAGTTGCCATGTTATTGACGTCCCAGTTTGATAGAGGTTATCAAAAGTGGCTCAATGGGTAATCTATTGACCAATGATTCACATTGCAATTCATAATGCATTTGTGCACAATGTGGTGATAAGAAATACATACGGGAGCTTTTTGTCACTCCACTGCTGGATAAAGGCCTCCTCATGCTGCCCTGGTCATTGGGGTTTGTCAAAGATAACCACAATGGGTAGTCCACTTGGTGAATTGAGCAAAAGTGGTACCATGCCAAACGCCGGGTTGGAACCAGGGACCTTTAGATCTTCAGTCTAACGCTCTCCCAACTGAGCTATTTCGGCTTCCTCCTGCAACATTGGTTTAGTTGCCATGTTATTGACGTCCCAGTTTGATAGAGGTTATCAAAAGTGGCTCAATGGGTAATCTATTGACCAATGATGCACATTGCAATTCATAATGCATTTGTGCACAATGTGGTGATAAGAAATACATACGGGAGCTTTTTGTCACTCCACTGCTGGATAAAGGCCTCCTCATGCTGCCCTGGTCATTGGGGTTTGTCAAAGATAACCACAATGGGTAGTACCACTTGGTGAACTGAGCAAAAATCGTACCATGCCCAAACCCGGGATTGAACCAGGGACCTTTAGATCTTCAGTCTAACGCTCTCCCAACTGAGCTATTTCGGCTTCCTCCTGCAACATTGGTTTAGTTGCCATGTTATTGACGTCCCAGTTTGATAGAGGTTATCAAAAGTGGCTCAATGGGTAATCTATTGACCAATGATTCACATTGCAATTCATAATGCATCTGTGCACAATGTGGTGATAAGAAATACATACGGGAGCTTTTTGTCACTCCACTGCTGGAGAAAGGCCTCCTCATGCTGCCCTGGTCATTGGGGTTTGTCAAAGATAACCACAATGGGTAGTACCACTTGGTGAACTGAGCAAAAATATGTACCATGCCGAAACCCGGGATTGAACCAGGGACCTTTAGATCTTCAGTCTAACGCTCTCCCAACTGAGCTATTTCGGCTTCCTCCTGCAACATTGGTTTAGTTGCCATGTTATTGACGTCCCAGTTTGATAGAGGTTATCAAAAGTGGCTCAATGGGTAATCTATTGACCAATGATGCACATTGCAATTCATAATGCATTTGTGCACAATGTGGTGATAAGAAATACATACGGGAGCTTTTTGTCACTCCACTGCTGGATAAAGGCCTCCTCATGCTGCCCTGGTCATTGGGGTTTGTCAAAGATAACCACAATGGGTAGTACCACTTGGTGAAATGAGCAAAAGTCGTACCATGCCAAAACCCGGGATTGAACCAGGGACCTTTAGATCTTCAGTCTAACACTCTCCCAACTGAGCTATTTCGGCTTCCTCCTGCAACATTGGTTTAGTTGCCATGTTATTGACGTCCCAGTTTGATAGAGGTTATCAAAAGTGGCTCAATGGGTAATCTATTGACCAAGATGCACATTGCAATTCATAAAGCATCTGTGAACGATGTGGTGATAAGAAATGAATGCAGGAGCTTTATTGTCACTCCACTGCTGGATAAAGGCCTCCTCATGCTGCACTGGTAATTGGGGGTTGTCAAAGATAACCCACAGTGGGTAGTACCTACTTGGTGAACTGAGCAAAAAAAGTACCATGCCCAAACCCGGGATTGAACCAGGGACCTTTAGATCTTCAGTCTAACGCTCTCCCAACTGAGCTATTTCGGCTTCCTCCTGCAACATTGGTTTAGTTGCCATGTTATTGACGTCCCAGTTTGATAGAGGTTATCAAAAGTGGCTCAATGGGTAATCTATTGACCAATGATGCACATTGCAATTCATAATGCATTTGTGCACAATGTGGTGATAAGAAATACATACGGGAGCTTTTGTCACTCCACTGCTGGATAAAGGCCTCCTCATGCTGCCCTGGTCATTGGGGTTTGTCAAAGATAACCACAATGGGTAGTACCACTTGGTGAAATGAGCAAAAGTCGTACCATGCCAAAACCCGGGATTGAACCAGGGACCTTTAGATCTTCAGTCTAACGCTCTCCCAACTGAGCTATTTCGGCTTCCTCCTGCAACATTGGTTTAGTTGCCATGTTATTGACGTCCCAGTTTGATAGAGGTTATCAAAAGTGGCTCAATGGGTAATCTATTGACCAATGATGCACATTGCAATTCATAAGCATCTGTGCACGATGTGGTGATAAGAAATACATACGGAGCTTTTTGTCACTCCACTGCTGGATAAAGGCCTCCTCATGCTGCCCTGGTCATTGGGGTTTGTCAAAGATAACCACAATGGGTAGTACTTGGTGAACTGAGCAAAAATATGTACCATGCCGAAACCCGGGATTGAACCAGGGACCTTTAGATCTTCAGTCTAACGCTCTCCCAACTGAGCTATTTCGGCTTCCTCCTGCAACATTGGTTTAGTTGCCATGTTATTGACGTCCCAGTTTGATAGAGGTTATCAAAAGTGGCTCAATGGGTAATCTATTGACCAATGATGCACATTGCAATTCATAATGCATTTGTGCACAATGTGGTGATAAGAAATACATACGGGAGCTTTATGTCACTCCACTGCTGGATAAAGGCCTCCTCATGCTGCCCTGGTCATTGGGGTTTGTAAAAGATAAGCCACAATGGGTAGTACCTACTTGGTGAACTGAGCAAAAAAAGTACCATGCCGAAACCCGGGATTGAACCAGGGACCTTTAGATCTTCAGTCTAACGCTCTCCCAACTGAGCTATTTCGGCTTCCTCCTGCAACATTGGTTTAGTTGCCATGTTATTGACGTCCCAGTTTGATAGAGGTTATCAAAAGTGGCTCAATGGGTAATCTATTGACCAATGATTCACATTGCAATTCATAATGCATTTGTGCACAATGTGGTGATAAGAAATACATACGGGAGCTTTTTGTCACTCCACTGCTGGAGAAAGGCCTCCTCATGCTGCCCTGGTCATTGGGGTTTGTCAAAGATAACCACAATGGGTAGTACCACTTGGATGAAATGAGCAAAAGTCGTACCATGCCAAACGCCGGGTTGGAACCAGGGACCTTTAGATCTTCAGTCTAACGCTCTCCCAACTGAGCTATTTCGGCTTCCTCCTGCAACATTGGTTTAGTTGCCATGTTATTGACGTCCCAGTTTGATAGAGGTTATCAAAAGTGGCTCAATGGGTAATCTATTGACCAAGATGCACATTGCAATTCATAAAGCATCTGTGAACGATGTGGTGATAAGAAATGAATGCAGGAGCTTTATGTCACTCCACTGCTGGATAAAGGCCTCCTCATGCTGCCCTGGTCATTGGGGTTTGTCAAAGATAACCACAATGGGTAGTACTTGGTGAACTGAGCAAAAATATGTACCATGCCGAAACCCGGGATTGAACCAGGGACCTTTAGATCTTCAGTCTAACGCTCTCCCAACTGAGCTATTTCGGCTTCCTCCTGCAGCATTGGTTTAGTTGCCATGTTATTGACGTCCCAGTTTGATAGAGGTTATCAAAAGTGGCTCAATGGGTAATCTATTGACCAATGATGCACATTGCAATTCATAATGCATCTGTGAACGATGTGGTGATAAGAAATACATGCAGGAGCTTTTTGTCACTCCACTGCTGGATAAAGGCCTCCTCATGCTGCCCTGGTCATTGGGGTTTGTAAAAGATAACCACAATGGGTAGTACCACTTGGTGAAATGAGCAAAAGTCGTACCATGCCAAAACCCGGGATTGAACCAGGGACCTTTAGATCTTCAGTCTAACACTCTCCCAACTGAGCTATTTCGGCTTCCTCCTGCAACATTGGTTTAGTTGCCATGTTATTGACGTCCCAGTTTGATAGAGGTTATCAAAAGTGGCTCAATGGGTAATCTATTGACCAATGATGCACATTGCAATTCATAAATGCATTTGTGCACAATGTGGTGATAAGAAATACATACGGGAGCTTTTTGTCACTCCACTGCTGGATAAAGGCCTCCTCATGCTGCCCTGGTCATTGGGGTTTGTCAAAGATAACCACAATGGGTAGTCCTTGGTGAACTGAGCAAAAATATGTACCATGCCGAAACCCGGGATTGAACCAGGGACCTTTAGATCTTCAGTCTAACGCTCTCCCAACTGAGCTATTTCGGCTTACTCCTGCAGCAGTGGTTTAGTTGCCATGTTATTGACGTCCCAGTTTGATAGAGGTTATCAAAAGTGGCTCAATGGGTAATCTATTGACCAATGATGCACATTGCAATTCATAATGCATTTGTGCACAATGTGGTGATAAGAAATACATACGGGAGCTTTTTGTCACTCCACTGCTGGATAAAGGCCTCCTCATGCTGCCCTGGTCATTGGGGTTTGTCAAAGATAACCACAATGGGTAGTACCTACTTGGTGAACTGAGCAAAAAAAGTACCATGCCCAAACCCGGGATTGAACCAGGGACCTTTAGATCTTCAGTCTAACGCTCTCCCAACTGAGCTATTTCGGCTTACTCCTGCAACATTGGTTTAGTTGCCATGTTATTGACGTCCCAGTTTGATAGAGGTTATCAAAAGTGGCTCAATGGGTAATCTATTGACCAATGATTCACATTGCAATTCATAATGCATTTGTGCACAATGTGGTGATAAGAAATACATACGGGAGCTTTTTGTCACTCCACTGCTGGATAAAGGCCTCCTCATGCTGCCCTGGTCATTGGGGTTTGTCAAAGATAACCACAATGGGTAGTACTTGGTGAACTGAGCAAAAATATGCACCATGCCAAAACCCGGGATTGAACCAGGGACCTTTAGATCTTCAGTCTAACGCTCTCCCAACTGAGCTATTTCGGCTTCCTCCTGCAACATTGGTTTAGTTGCCATGTTATTGACGTCCCAGTTTGATAGAGGTTATCAAAAGTGGCTCAATGGGTAATCTATTGACCAATGATGCACATTGCAATTCATAATGCATTTGTGCACAATG